ATGAGGATCTTCATTTAAAATGTTGATAGAACAGCAGCAGAATAATGTCCTTGTGAGTGGATTCAGGCCCTTGTAGAACAAAATTAAGTATTTTGGTCTAAATAACCCAAAATGTGATGTCCACACATGTGGACGCAGGTCCTAGGAGGTTAAAAATAATGTTGAGTCTACACAGATATGATTATGTTCCTGCCATTTTCAGCGATCTTCTCTGAACCTGTTGAACTTTACTTTGTAGATTTGAGATTTCTGTAGAGCTCCTCTCATGCTGTCTTCTTGTCCTATCTAAAAGGAGGTGAATGATATAACTATCAGTTAATTTAGCACCCTTTGCTACTTCTGCTGCAGCTGACGTGGATTAATGGTTTATTTATTGCACATTTTATTCCTAATGTAAGAGAAGAAGAAGAAAGGTTCAATCACTAATGATAATTCTTTTTATAATGATCTCTGTTCACTCTGCAGAATGTGGTGATGCTTATGAGTGACTTTGTGGACTGGCTTATCCCAGACATTCCCAAGGACATCAGCCTCCAGATCCACAAGGAGAAGATCCTGATGGTGGAGCTCTTTATGAAAGAGGAGCAGGGGAAAAGGTTTGCAGCAAGAGACAACCAAGACAGCTGCACAGTTCCTTCGTCAGCTAATCAGAGGCCGCCACAGCCACGCTCACGCCCTGTTTCACAGGCACACAGCTCCTAACCTGTGGGTTGGTGGGAAAAGAATCACAGATGGCAATAAGCAAAACCAGTCCTGTCACTGAGCTGTCAGAGCGGTCGGGTTACGGTCAAAGCTACCTGTGTTCAGTCCACATTAACAGTCAGTTTTGTAATATCAGCAAAGGCTTTGCTGCACTTGCATTTTCCATCTTAGACCACTAACCATAAATCCTCAACTTATGTTACCAACTTCTTCTTTATTGGATGTAAACAAGGAAAGAAAAAGCCATTCAACCTTCAGCCTCTCTTTAACCCTTTCTCTGCCTGTCGGCTTTACAGAGCCAGAAGAAGTGATTTAAACTCTAAAACTATTTACAGCATTTCAGGTTTTATTTATTTGAAGATTTTGCCAAAGAAAAACATTTTCCACTACAGCGCTCACACTTTGTAATTCAAGCTATTATTTGGCATAGCTAGCTATCAACTATGAGTAAGTAAAAGTGCGTTTTCTTAATTACTAGTGTAGAGTTTGTGTGCTCATAAGGGAAATGAAATATAGTAGTAAGTGTTTGCGGTGTGCGTGTTATTGTGTTTTAAAATGTCAACAAGACAAGAACTTTGCATTTTTTAAGTTGTTGATGTCTCTGAAAAGTAGGAGCAGAGTGTCACATGAAGTCACCACAGGAACAGGTTTGAACACAGCGTTACGGAGGTTGTCTGCCTTAAATCACTCAGCTCCTCGAGAGATTTCCAGCATGAAATGATCGTCTTTCTGTCGACAATGATCATTTTTCATATATTTGTATTTAAAAACATTACCTTGCAACCATTTTTAAAGCTGCAATTGCAGCTTTTTAAGCACAAAGAATGAATAACGTTGTCTTTTATATTTATTCAATGAATGAGTTTCATGAATCCGTAGGTGACCAGGGATCTGCTGACTTTAGCAACTTTCTAAAAATGGATTATTGTTGTCCCAATTTGAATTCATAGTTTTGTAAACAAGAAACTACAAATATTCTTATCACTAATAGTGTAACTTCTTTCTGAGCTGTCACAACAACTGCACATTTTAATTTACTAAATAATTTTAGTAATCTCTGGCTTAGTTTGTTAGTAGTCATAGTCATTAATAGAGCACATGTACGGGGTAGTAGTGCCTTTGTTAGCTTAATTTCTTTCATCACAACCTTTTATAACTTTGTAAAAGCTGATGTCGTACATGAACCCTCTCTGGAT